CCTCCAGCACTCAGGAAGTAGAGGCAGGAAGATCACTGTGTGTTTGTGGCCAACCTGGGCTACATAGTGAGATCTTATCCAAAAAATAAACTACATCAAATTAAAAAGATAAAACAAAATTGGCTTCACCTTGGGGCTGCAAGGCCGTCAGTCTGTCTTAAAAAACCAGAGGAGGAGAAGATTGTGTATCAATAGCTTCCCCTTTTTTTAGCCTTTATTAATAAAATCATAGAGCAGTTGTTCTCTGAATGGACATACCACAGTTGGTTTTAACCCTTCTTACGTGAATGAACGTCAGAACTGTTTATAGCTTTTGTCTGCCTATTTATTTTGCAGTGTTGGGGATTGCAATCAAGACCTTCACACTGAGTAGCATCCCTTGTCCCCTTTTATTTTTTATTTGGAGATGGGCTCTAAATTGCCTAGGCTGTACTCCAATGTGGGGTCCACCTGCCTCAGCCTCCCCAAAGTGCTGGGATGACAGCTATGCACTACCAGGCTGGAATACTTTTATTTTTTTCCCCATGTCTTTCATATTTTGCTGCTGATGGAAACCAGGACCATCGAGCACACTGGGCAAGCGCTCTGCCACCCAGCTACACCCCTCGCCCTGCCTTACATTTTAAAACACTCCCTTGGCCGCAGGGTGGAGAATAGATTCTTGGGCTAAAGAGGCAGTAAACCATCCAGGCAAGGTGAGATATTTAGCTGCAATTACCTAAGGAAGAGATAACAGGGCTGGAGCACTGTTTTGACCCCTGTGTAAAGCTCTCGATGCGCATTATCTTGGGTCTCAGCAGAATTTGGAAAACTCCCCTTCCCTAGAGACAAGTCATCAGTCCCAAGGAAGCAGGATTGTTAAGCTTTCTTCTGCTTTTAGTGTTGAGTCCTTCTGTCTCACATTTGCAAAGAGGCACCTTGACCCTTGACGCTGGGCCCTATCAGCTCTGCACCTGCCAGGGATGAGTGACAGGAATCCCTCAGGGAGCTCCTCGGGCAAGGGAAGGGGCCCTGCGATGCGCAGCTCGGGTGACCCTGTGAGCGCGGGAGGTCACGGCGGGGCTCCACTGCCATGAACTCTACGAAGACCTGCTCAGCCCGGTTTGGTCTTTGCAATGGCTCGGTGTGTCCGCTTTATGACCATGCAAGAGTGACCTGCATTCAGCCGGAGCTGGGTTTTGAGGTTTGCATGTTGATGTCGACCTGGGCTAGTGGTGGGATGCTCTCCTCCCCTGGCAGTCTCATTTTGGAGCTGGCCAGTTTGTAAGGACAGGGACAGAGAGGCAACAGGTGCGCCAGGGTTTCAGCAGGCCCTGTGCTAGATGGGGAGTCTCCTGCCTCAGCCTCCCGAGTGCTGGGATTGAGTATTTATTCCGTGCTGGGCCCAAGACCCGAAGTCTCCCAAAAACGTTTCCCAAAGTGCTTGAGAAGGGCGCACACAGCATGAGGCGCACACAGACGGGTGATTTTCTAAGCCCACAGGTACACAAGGCAGAGTGGCAGATGCAGCTGGCCCTTCCACCCTGACCTCAGCGGCTGCAGATTCTACCAACCATGGATGGAAGCTAAGTCTCAAACAAAGCTGCCCCTGAAGCCAGGGCATGGTGACACGCACCTGTAACTCCAGCACTCCAGAGGCTGAGACAGGAGGATGCTAGATGAGACTAAGGTCAGCCTGGATTATATCATGAGAGGCTTTCTCCAAGCCAAACCAGACCCTTGGTCTCTGCACAATACAGTGTGAGAATTGTTCCTGTGCCACTTACATTGTATCAGGTTTTATAAGTGCTCTAGGCAGGATTTAAAGAGCAAGGGAACCCTGCACCGGGTCTGTGCCAACATTTGTGGAGCATCCTGTATTCCTTTGAGAATCCTGTCGAATAATTCTATTTTCTGTCTTTATGCCCCTCTGGCTCTCTCTCTCACTGTCTGTGTCTGTCTCCTCTTTTTCCTGCAGTATATTTGGAACAAAAAAGAAATAATCTGTAAGTTAAAACTGCAGAAGAAAATGCAACATTTTGCTGTGGGGAAGCTGGCATCTTTCAAATAACATTCCGGGAGGGTAGACCTCCCATCCCCTCTTCTCCTTTCCTTTTTTTTTTCCTTTTGCACTGATGATTGAACTCAAGATCTTATTATTTTTTTGCTTATTTATAATTTTTGAGAGAGGGTCTAGAACTGAATTTTGGAGTTCAGGCTAGAACTGCAGTGACCCTCCTGCCTCAGCCTTCTGAGTACTGGGATTACAGATAGGCACCATTATACACAATTCCCTAGCTCTTTTTAAAATTTTTTTTTAAATTTTGAGGTAAGTTCTCTAAATTGCCCAGGGTAGGTTCGAACTTGGAATCTTCCTGCCTCAGCCTCCCAGAATGCTGGAATTGCACCATGCCCAGCTTCCTTCTCTTCAGAAGTGCTGGGATAACTGGGCTCCCCTGGATGCGTTTGGAACTGGCCAGCTGCATGTGGCCCAGCTGCCAGAGGGTCCCCAGCTGGAGAAGAGCAGCCCTGCTCCCTCCAGCTGCAAATGAAGGCAGGGAGAAAACAAAATGCATCAGGTCGTGGTGGAAACGGTTCCAGGAGTCCTGGTCACTGAATGGAAAGCGAGGAAGTTTTATTGTTTTAGTTGGCAGCCGTCTCCGGATTCTTTTAAAAAGAACATTTGGAGATGCGCGCGCGTGTGTGTGGGCGTGTGTGTATGTGCATGTGTGTGTGCGCATGTGTGTGTGCGCATACGTGCATATGTGGGAAGGTGGTAGAAACTGTGCCTGTGACCGTGAGAATGGGCAGAGAGGGAGCGACAGCTGTGTGTTTGGCTCGGTTCGGTTTGGTTTGTTTGAGACAGGGCCTTGCTATGTAGCCCAGGCTGGCATGGAGCTCACAGAGATCCTCCTGCCTCAGCTTTCCCAGAGCTGGGACTACAGACGTGTGCCACCACACCGGGGTAGTTGTCACCTTTTGTGTGTTGAGCCTGCAGAAGAAAAGACCAGCTGACAGTGGGAAGAGAGAAGCGGCAGGGAACAGACAGCAGCCCTCTGCACACTCGTGTGTGTGTGTGTGTGTGTGTGTGTGTGTGTGTGTGTGTGTGTGTGTATCTGCAGAAATACAGAGTGAGGAGGGTAAGAGTAGGGACTCAGCAAAGGCCACCAACGGAACGGGCCCTGAGCCCTGCCCCAGTGCTCTCCCCTGCGAGTCCAGAAATAGTTTCCGAGAACCTCGGTGCTTCCCTCCTGGCCACCTGCGGGAGATAAAGCCGCCGGCCTCTGTGGCTGTCTTGGCTGAGGCTCAGCTGCCACTGCCGACAGGCGGCTTTGATCTCGGGTTATCAGGGCCTGACCCTGCGGCCCCATCTTCCCGGCCAGCTTCCGCCCACCGCTCACCTCTGCGGGAAGGGCATCCGCCAAGGTCACTATGGCAGGGTGAGCCGGCCCTGTGCCCAGCGTGCCTTCGAGCCTGGGTGCCTGATCCAGTGGTGGTGGCACCCTCTTTTGTTCCCGGGCAAGGGTGGCCAGAGGACCTGGCTGGGGAAGAGTAGCTTTATTATTTTTATAGTTTTATTTTATTTCATTGGGTGTTGAGACAGGGTCTCCCAAGGTAGTACAGGCTGGCTTTGGAGTCACTATTGTCTTGGTTACTTTTGTCTCTTTGCTGAGACAAAAATACCCAATGCCCAATGTTAAAGGAGGAAAGGTTTATTTAGGTCACAGTTTGTGGAGGTTTCAGCCCATACTTGGCTGGCCCTGAAGCAGGCTGGCACAGCACTGGCATAACTTCTGCTGGCAGAAGACAGCAAAAACAGAAAGAGCAAAAGGGTGAGCCTCTTTTCCTCCCTCATAGGGTAGGCAGGCTACCCGCCCTAGGGCAGGTGGGCTCACACCAACTGCAAGCCCTCCTCCTGCACAGGCTCAGGGTGTTTGCACAGTGAGGACCCTGGTCCCCTGCTGAGTCAGTTAACAAAGCTGACACAATCAACACCATCCTGGAGGGCTAAGCCCACTCCTTTACACCCTAGGATGTATGGAAGTAACTGCTGAGTCACTTGGTTAAACTGCTAGACTTTTCAGGTTGACACAGTGTATCAACAATTACAACCAGGTACCCTGGGCTGCCTGCCAGCTCATGAGGAACCTCCTGCCTCAGCCTCCTGAGTGCTGGGATTGCAGGAGTGCACCACTGCACCTCAAGAAATAAATTTCTGTTCTTTACCAGCTACCTACAGGGCATGTCGTGCAGAGACAGCAGATTTAGTTTTATTATTTGTCACCTCCATCTTTCTGTACCACTTTCAGTCACCGGCTCTGGGCTGGGCCTTGGGTAAGTTGGATGGGAATTCAGGGGCAGAAGCAGATCACAGCGCTGCTCCCAGGAGGGTTTCATGCCCCATGTGCAGGGGACAGGGACCCAGCAGGTCTGTGGCTCAGTCTATGCATCGGTAAATGTGATGGGACCCTGTATTTATTTATTTATTTATTTATTTTGAGACAGTCTCAGTCTGTGATTCAGGTTGGCCTTGGACTCACTATGGAGCCAAGGCTGGCCTCCAACTCCTAGAGATCCTCCTGCCTCAGCCTCCCGCATACTGAGATCACATGCATGTGCCACTACACCTGGCTGGGGACTGGGAAGCTGCTTTCTTGATAAGTTGTGAGGCTAAGAAAGAACCTGGGCTAGGTCTGGGCATCTCAGGGCAGGTGTGACGGTGCCAGCACACCCACTGTCCTCTGACTGTCCCTGTCCAGGTTACAGAGGCCTGGCTTCCTTCTGTGTCCCTTGGGGCACAGATTCATTTCATAGCAAACTGGCTCTCAGACCAGAGAAAAGCACCACTTGGATGGTGAATAACAGCAATCACTCCCTGCTGCTCACACTGAGCAAGGTCCCTGCCTTGGGAGGACCCTGCAGAGCTGCAGCTGATCTCCGCTAGGGGCAGGCTGGGGGGGGGGGAACGGAAGTGACGACAGAGAAGCAGGCGCTGGGCGGGGCCGAGCGTTTACCGCTTCCGGTGCCTGGCGCTGAGCCCGGAAGTGAGCTCCGCAAGGGCACGGCTTGCCCTCCAGCTGGCGCAGGTCTTGAGGGGCGTTACCCCGGGGTATCTCGGGGTTCCAAGGCAGGAAGACTGGCGTCCGAGAAGCAGATACGATGAGGAGGAAGAGGCTGAAATGGGGTCTGCTGCAGTCACGGGACAGCAGGTGCTGGAAGCCAGAAAAGACGAAGAAACCAGCTGTCCCCAAGAAACATGGCCGGGGCCATCTGTGTATCCTTTTATTCACTGTGCAGTCTATCACTGAACATGTCTGTCTTAGTTACTGTCTCGTTGCTGGGACAAAATACCCGACACCCAAAGCTAAAGGAGGAAAGGTTTATTTAGGTCGCTGTTTGTGGAGGTTTCAGTCGGGTGATCTCTTTGTGTGACTTTGAGCGGCTCCAAGCACAGCTCGTGGAGAGGGCGGGGCGGAGGACAAACAGTCCAGGGCAGGCAGGCAGGAGGCAGCGAGCAGAGAGCCTCTCGTTAACTCCGTGCAGGCCACTAGGTCTGTGGGCTGGTGCCAGGACACCCTGCGTGTGGCTTCTGTTTTCAGTAAATCCACGCAGCCTCACCCAGAATGGTGGGGCACTGGTCAGTGGTTTGATTCAGTTGTCACACACCCTGGATTCAGTCACTTTTGAAAAGCCCCCTCCTGGGGCTGGGGATTTAGCTCAGCAGCATAAGCACCTGCCTGGCAAGCAGGCGGTCGTGAGTTCGATCCCCGGTACCAGCAAAAAAAAAAAAAAAAAAAGAAAAGCCCCCTCCTATCCCCACCTATGAGTACATGAGGCTTTGTGGGGTCATCTAGACATAAGTCATAACTTCTCTCTCTTATTTTTCTTTCTTCCTTTCTTTCCTTTTCTCTCTCTCTTCCTTTTTTCTGTTGTCTTTTTGAGACAGGATCTTGCTATGCAGTTCTAGCTGATCTTGCATTTTGAACTTGCAGCAATCCTCCTGCCTCAGCCTCTCAAGAGCTGGGATTACAGGCATGCACCACCATGACTGGGCTGCTTCTCTTTCTTTTCTTCTTTCCCTCCACCTGTATACTAGGGATTAAACCCAGGGCTTGCACATGCTAGGCAGGTGCCACTGAGCAACATGCCCGCCTTTAAAAATTTATTTTGCCCAAGTCTTCCCAAGTCAACTAGGCGTACTTTAAAATCATGATCCTCCTACCTCAGCCTTTAGAGTAGCTTGGATTACAGGTGTGTATCCAACACCCAGTTTCACCAAGATTTATTACTTACAAAATTCTGATGTAACATGTGTGTTTGCTTTGAGCCACGGTATTAGTGGTCCTTGGCTAGGGCAGGTCTAGGAAACTAACAAGGATCTGGAGAGGTGGCAGCCTGTAGCTTGCTGTGAAAGATGTCTCAGGTGGTACAAACAGTACATACAAAGGCCCTGGGGTGTGAAGTTAGAGTATGTGACAGTCCTCACAGAGGCCTCACAGGAGGGCCTGCATGTTTGAGAGTGACCACAGAAGACTCTTGAGGGACAGAAAGCTTGTAGTGAGCCTTCCAGGGCTGGAAGAGCCTCAACTGATCAGGCTTCAACTCTCAGCTCTTCCCCGTGTGGTCTCTGGCGGGTCACCTTCCCTCTCTGCGTCTCTGCTGCTCTGTCTATTCTAAAGCGCTGTAGTGAGCTGACTGTGAGGACTTTCCTTGGGGTGTGGGATGTGAGACTTTCTGTCCATGTCAGGTCTGGTGACAAGAGGTCATCAAATGGAGTGGGCCGGGTGTTCTGGGTCCAGGCAACAAGTGGACCCAGCTACTTCGATGCATCCATGTTTGCTTTTTTGAGACAGAATCTCAGTCTGCTGCCCAGACTAGTCTCAGACTCTTGGTGATCTTCCTGCCTCCGCTTCCTGAGCGTGTGTCTTTTTGTTGTTGTTGCTGTTTTTTAAACAGGTCTAACTAAGTCGGCCCAGCCAGCCTTCAACGCATGATCCTCCTGCTTCAGCCACCTGAAGTGGTGGGAATATAGGATTGTGCCACCATGTTCAGCTTTGTGTCTTTATTCCACTTTTTGTTTTGGTTTCACAGTGCTAGAGACTGCACTCAGGGCTGTGTGAATGCCAGTCAAGCACTCTGCTCCTGAGTGGTACCCCAAGCCCCTGATTCCCCAAAGCCTCTGCCGCCCTCCTGCTCTGCCACCCTGGCTGGGTTTGACTGTGGGGCTGTCACCTGCAGGGCAGTGGGGTCCTGGTGGAGGCTGGTGACCATACACCACGGCCCTTGCTGGGTTCTTCTGGCCCGGTAGGTGCCAGGTTTCCCTAGGCAAATGCTGTCTCGGTCCTGCCCGGGGATGCAAGCATGCTGGGAACCGGGATCCATGACCTGGGAGGCACAGATTGGAGCTCCTCTGGGCAGGAACACAAGTGGGTCTGCCTGTGGCAACCAGAGTTGGGCTGTATCTGTATCTGGGACACAGCAAGGGCAGGGACAGCCAGGCTACTACAAGCCTGTTCCCCGGAGCAGTGGCACCAACCAGAAGCTTGTGAGAAATGCATCTCGGAGTCTTTGTACTGCTATGCCAGGGACCCCACTTTGAGAACTACTATGCTGAATGAGATGTTGGAAACTATCCTACCACCTCCTCCTCTTCTACCTCCTCCTCCTCCTCTTCCTCCTCCTCCTCCTCCTCTTCCCCTTCTGGTATTGGGGATTGAACGCAGTCTTCATAGGGAGCTGCATCCCAGCCCTTGTATTAAATTTATCATAAGACAGGATCTTAATAGATCACCTAGTTGTAAGGCTGAGCTGAAGTTTGCAATCCTCCTGCCTCTGCCTCCTATAATGCTAGGATTGTGGGTATTTACCACCTTGCCACCTGGCTGCCCCTAGACTATCTCAGAGCTACTTTAAGATTCTCTTAGGAAGACAGAAGGCAGAAATGTGAAACGAGGTGGCGTTTGATTTCCTGAGGACCCAAGTAGGGGGGTAAAGAAGGCAACGCTCGCGTCACAAGACATCTCAAATGTTAATCACGTGGTGTCCTCAAGGACCTGAGATGGACACAGCGGATGAGAGTGGAGAAGCCACATGACCACTGCCAGGGAAACCCCCGTGTCTGATGCAGGACTGGGGTCCTGCGGTTGAGATTCTCGGACCTTTCAGGAAAACCCCTCTAGCAGGTGAATCTGCAGTCCCTCCAAGAAAGGTGGATCAGGTGGAAAGTAGGAAGCTTTAGGAACCCAGGGCGGGGCCCTCCTTTCTGCCTCTGCTGCATTCCAGGAGCAGAGAGCAGGGAGAAAACAAATCTATAAATACACAAAAGGCGGTGGGGGACCCTGGAGCCGGGGCAGGAGTAGGTAAGGGATTCCGGTCCCGGGCCCTGGGTTTCTCTGCTTCCCTGGGCTCAGGCTGCGGGTACACTCTATGCAAATGTGTTTACTTTGTCTTCTATTTCAGGCCCCTTCGCTCAGCTGTCAGGAGCTGTAGCAACATGTCATGCGGTTGCACAAACAAGCATTTTGGGTGGAAATATTTCGGGTAAACAGACACAGTGTTATGACAGATCAGAACTCCAGACCCGGAAGGGGCTGGGTGGGCCGGGTCTCCGCAGTGAGGGATCCCTGTACCCTGCAGGCCAGCGTCTGTTACAGGTGTGTGTGGGGGGTGGCGGGTTCCGGCCTCAGGGGTGCTAATGGGCTTTGTCAGCCTAAAGGGCCAAGAGGTTTCCCTCTGGTGTCTACTGCTTCTGCAGCAGGCCAGCTGGGAGAGGAAAGAAAAACCATTAATTTGGCTTGACTTGGTTCTCTGTCCCAGAGCTATGTCCCTGTCTCGATGGCTTGAACTCTGTGTTGTCCTTGGGCGAGGACAAGGAAATGTCCTTGTTTGAGGTCAGAGCAGGGCTGGAGGGCAAGGTGACCTGGGCTTCAGATGGGTCTTCTGCATGGCATGTTTTTTATTTTATTTAACTTCTGTTTTGGTTGCAGTACTGGGGATCAATCCAGGGCCTTCAGGACTGAGTGAGATAGCATCTTGCTAAGTCTCTAAGTTGCCCACAAATGGACTCAAACGTTCCATCCTCCTGCCCCAGCCTCCTGGAGTGCTGGATGACAGGTGTGCACCATCACTCCTGGGATGATGCACCCATTAAACTGAATTTTGTTAGGGAAAGTGATAACGTTGCCAGGATGAAAGGATAAAATTTACGTGGAGAAATGCCTTCTCCTGTTTCTTCCTCCACTCATTGTTCTGTCCGTTCCCCCACCAAAAACTCACACAGGTACCGCGTTTCACGGTCCACCTTGACCCACCTGGTTAACACCGGCTCAGACTCAGGACGCCGCAGGAACCAGAGCACCGCAGCGGCCTGGCGGTGGCTTGTGCAGCCGCGGCGCCCTGAGTTTGGCTGGCTGCACGGCACAGTCCGGTACTGAAGCTTTAGTGCTGTTACACATTACAAGTTAGAGTTAGAGTTTCCTTTGCCTGTTTCTTTGTTCTGAATATTGTAATGCACATAATTCTATAGTTCCTCCTTTAGTGAGCAGTTCATTAATGACCTAGCTGCAGGAGCTAACTTGGTTGTTAAACGAGGAATGTCTGTGTACACACACACACACACACACACACACACACACACACAGATATTTTGTTGGGCTGTGTCTCCTGTTAGTCCCCAGGTCATATGCTTGATGGTTATGTCTAAAAGAGAATTCACATTTCCCTTGAAATGACAGATACTGCTGGACATGGTGGCACACGCCTGTAACCCCAGCTACTCAGGAGGCTGAGGCAGGAGGATCACGAATTCAAGGCCAACCCCGGGCAACTTAGTGAGACTGTCTCTGAAAAGAGACAGCTCTAAAAAGAGCTGGAAGTGTACCTCCATGGTAGAGCATCCACTGGTTTAGTCCTCACACTGCAACAGCAACAAAAAACATAAACAAACAAAAAAGATAGTTACCCTTTACCGGGCCCCCACCATGCACTGCCTACCATGGATCAGGGCCGCTTCCAACAGGACCTTCCAGAAGCTGGCCTTCTCAGGCCATCCTGGAGTGGCACAGCAGGACAGCTGGACCGAACCCCACCTCTCCCTGGCTCCTAGCCTGTGTCCCTGCTGCTACCTCAGGTGCTTGTTGGCTCTTGGGAGCCGGGAGCCGGGACGACTTGGGACCCGCAGCCAGCACTGCGGGCTGGCCGTACCCGACCCGGGAAGAGAACATGGGTCTCGCCAGCTGCCTGGGGGATGTGCCTGAAAGACACTGGCAGGTCCCA